TTGCAGCATTACCCGCCCTAAGTGAAGGCGGAGGTGCCCGCCCTAAGTGAAGGCGGGCCTGGCTTTTTGCAAAAGGCCCTCGACTGTCAATTTCATATTTGGGGTCCAGGCAGTTGCAACGCGCCAGTTGGTTGAAAGAAACACAGGCCGAGCAACATAGACATTTCCACGGCCTACCAGGCCTTTCCAAAGAATGCAGGCCCTGGGCTTGATTTGCAGCCTCATACAGAGACAGTTGGGCGCCCAACCGAACGAGGCCCAGCAGCCCAGTAGCTGCTGCATCCAGGCAGCCTCCTGGGGCCTTCCGGAAGCTTCTGGGCCCAGGCCAGCCCAGCCAGGCTGTGAGAGCTGGCCAGCTCTTTTCCATAAAGGAAAGAGCTCGGCCCTGGCTGCCTCATTCGGGCACTCGCATGCTAGCGGCAGCGCTGCTGGAGCAAAGGCTCGCGGCTGCTGGCTGGCGCTGAGAGGCGAGGTGCAGCACGTGCGGTCGTGCAGAGGAGGAGGGCGCTGCTGAGGGCAGCGCCATAGCCCAGCCACCATAGCTGGTGGGCTTGGACTACAGTGAAGCGCAGGGGTGATCTTCGAGTGAGAGAGAGGACAGGTGTGGGTGTAGTCAGGGGATAGGTGAATGATGATGATGATGATGATGATGTGAGGGCACTTACCTTGTATTGGCGATGGTCTGCATGGGCGACATCTTCAAGTACTTCGGGCTGCCGCTAATGTCAACAGTTGCATTGTCTTTTTGTAGTCTGTAGTAGCTGTGTAGAAGTAGGCTGGGCGCTGAGCGCCAAGTGTGAGTGTGAAGGAACTGGACTGTGTTGAGAGGAGAGAGTGTGCTCTCCATGAACATTGGTTTTCAGTGCTACAAACCTCCATTGGTGTATTATTGGTGCAATGCTGCTATCTGGACACGGTGTGACTACTTGACTTTCAATGTCATGGTGTGATCTGGAATTGTCATCTCGCTGTTACTTATTTTCCTTGCAATTGTGTGAAACCCAAAAAAAAAAACACTCATTCCATTTTAGTTTTTGTTTTTTTCATTGTGTGTTTATGTTTTTTATTTTAAAAAAATCTATTTAAACATCAAAAAATAAAAATAAAAATACAGGATTGTAGTCATCAAAACAACCTACAACCCCATTTTTTTTTTGGATAATTTTTAGCCCAGGAAAAAAATCATCGCGGACCCCGTTAATTCACGTCCAATGCGCGTTTGAACGGGAGTTTAACGTGAATTCAACGTGCGTTGAATTTTTCAACGCGGAACCCGCCTTGAATTCAAAATTGGACACACAGTCTACCTCTGCAGGGTGTGGTACCGGCCTACCCGCTACTTGAGTGTTTCCCCGCTGCTTCAAGTGTTGTGGGCCTCTTCCCCCGCCACTTGAGTGTTTTCCGTGCTGCAGACCTCAATGTCACGGCCACAGGTAAGTACCGACCCTGAGGGCCCAACGAACGAACAAGTGCCCTTGCGGGTCACACACACACACTCGAGCCAACCAGCACTCAGACGGTCATGCAGACCAGCAAGCGTGCACACACAAACATGTAGAACTTAGTAGCAAGCGGGAAACTCAGCAAGGCATTCAGTCCATAAGCAAAACTCATAAATCAACTGTGTGTCTAAGTCCGTGTTTGGTCGGGTCATCACGTCCCTCTTTCTTGGGGACAAATAGAATAGGTGTGCCAAAAGGAGACGAACTGGGAATAATCCATCCTTTTTCGAGGAGCTTGTCAAACTGCTTGCACAGCTCCTCCAATTCCTTGGGAAACATTTTGTAAACTGCTCCCTTAGGCGTTGTACTACCAGCCTCTATCTCTATGGGGAATGGGTCTTGGCATTACTCCTGAGGGTGTCTCCGATAAATTTTGGTACTTTTTCAGCAAATTGGCAATAGTGGGATGGATCCCTTTCTCCTCCTTTGTCTGCTCAGAAATTGGCTTAACATAAGCTATGAACACTTGTTCCTCCAGCTACTCCTTTCTAACAAGTCTGGCGAATGCAAGAGCACTAACGCAGCAATGCGCCAGGGAGTTGTCGACTCTTGACGCATGGAATAGGCGTGCTTTCTTGACCCCACCTAACGGATTAGGGAGCCTGCACTAGTGCTCTCTAAGGTGCAAAGGAGCCTCAGCTGCCTCTCCCCAATCCGTTCCAAGCAATATGTCAAAAGGGAGGTTCTCTTCTGCGAGGAGAATCAAGGAGCGGAGGACTTTTTCTACCTTCCCTTCTTGCTCTAGGTGAAAATACGCCTGGACTCCCTCTACATATTCCTCTACCTGCATTGTACGGTTATCTGCGAGGATGCTGACTACAGGCTCTTTCGACTTTTGGACCTTGAGGCCTAGCCTCAACTTCTTCAGCGCCTTACAACTGATGGAACTTCTGGTGGCCCCACTGTCTATAAGGGCCCCTACTGTAGCTCTAAAAATCTCTACGTCTGCTAATAGGAGCTGCCCCTTTCCATCCTTCATCTTGGCTTATGTCTGCCTCCTTTCCTTCAATTTTTCAACCAAGCATGCGAGGGAAGCGCCTAGAGAGACTCTAACACAAGCAGTCTTTGGGAAGCTAGCTAGGAGTTGGCAAGCAACCTTTGCCATGGAGACATTTGGAGTGGGAGTTTCTGTCTTGCGCGCACGCTCATCTCCGCCTACCTCCTTTCCTTCAATTCTTCATCCAAGCATGTGAGGGAAGCGCCTAGAGAGACTCTAACACAAGCAGTTTTTGGGCAGCTAGCCAGGCGCTGGCAAGCAACCTTTGCCATGGAGACATGTGGAGCGGGAGTTTCTGTCTTGCATGCACGCTCATTTCCACACACTCCTATGGCAGGGGCAAATGGTACCCCCACGTTTTGCTGCCCCAAATGCAGCATTGCAGAACCCCCTACACCTCGGGCAAAACTTGATGATGTGCGCAGGGTAGCCACAGAACGCGCACTGGTACTTATCAATGCGGTCCTGCCAGACATTCTGATCAACATTAAGGGTTTCCCAAAGCCTGCCTTCAAGCCGTCCAAGATGTCATGCACCCCTTCTGGGAGGTGATCGACTGGGACTAGTTCAGTTAGTGAGGGGACCTTGACACCTTCCTCCCACTTCGTGGTCTCTATTGCCGCCAACCCTCGGTCGCCTCGTCCACGACCACCCGAGGCCTGCCCACCCGTGCCTTGGCCTCTTCCTCCTCCTTGTGGCCTCCCTCCGGCCACGACAGCAGCGTAGGAACTCCCCAGCTGTACCCTATTGTCCTCCTCTAACCCCCACTCTATATATGTGTACAACACCTCTTCTAGACCACCTCCTTCCATTGTTAGCATAAGACTATGCTTGGCCATAATCTAACCAAAGATGGTGTTGCCTTTCCACTTTTTGCCCTTCGCTAAGTCCTTATGCCAGAAAGTAATCACTGGTATAGCTTGGGCGGCAAGTAGGTCGTACGTTATCCCTTACTGTTACCTTTCTGCGAAAAATGGCCTTGCACTTGCTTGGGCAGCGCGTGGTAAAAGAGTTGAATAAGTTGTGTTTCCGTCACTCCATGCCCGAGCACAATATTAAGCTCACCCATAGCAGCTTTTAGGGTGTGTACACTCCACCATTGTCGCGTATGGATCATCTGGACCTTGTCAGACGCCCTTATCCCACTTGTGACGTTTGCGAAGCGTTCTTGCAGTGCAGCGGTAAAATTGTTAAACCACCAGTACCTCCTGAAAGTGCTCCGCGTTAACGGGCATGGATTTTGGGATGAACGGGCTTGGGCCGGTAGGGCAGATTCAGCCAAGTGGAAACGGCACAATTTCCACTTTTGGCTGGTCGTTAACGCGGAGCACTTTCAGGAGGTACTAGTGGTTTAAGGTGGGTGTTGGCAGAATAAGCAGCCATGTCATTTTCACAGTGGGCTGTGCGTGCGAGCGACCTAGCAAAACTAGTCGCTTCGTCTCTCAAAGCCTAGAAGGTTTTTCAAAACATGGTCCTCGGGAGCTACGTCCTGCAAATGCATGTAGGACTTAACATTGGCTTCCCAATTGTCAAAGTCCTCCCCCTTCTTTCCGCTGTATGGCTCGAGGAAACAAACCTTGACCCTTTCTCGACAGGGTCGGACCTCTTCTTCCTTGGGGGCCGCTATTCTGGCACCCTCTATTGCGCCTTCTTCTTCAACTTTTTTTTTTTCTTCTTCTTCTTTTTTTTCTTCTTTTTCTTCTTCTTCTTATGCCTCCACAGCACTCAACTTCGCCTCTTGCTCCTTCCATTTTTCCATTGCCTCCTCTATCTGCTTCTTCTTTGTTGATGCTTTTTCCAGCAGGGCCAATTTCTTGGCTTGTCGTATCAGCTCCTTCTTCTTCATCGTCTCCCTCTTTTCGCGAAGAATTGCAGCAGCTCTCTCCTCATGTGCCTTACTATATACAAGGTTGTGCTGGTTCCGGTCCTGGTGGTCACCATGTTGTTAGGGGCACAGTCACTGATTATTCCACTCCTCAACACGTAGACCTCACCTCTAGACTTTGACTTCTACAGAACTACAGAGGTCTCTCCTCCGCTTCAGCCAGTTTACCACAGCCTTCGGATGCTTTCCCAACCACAGTTACCAATCTTTCCACAGTCGTGGGATGCTTCCGCAACCATAGTCACCAATCTTTCCACAGCCGTCGGATGCTTTCGCACCCACAATCACCAATCTTTCCACAGTCGTTGGATGCTTTCACAACCACAGCCACCAATCCCACCTGGCTTTAGCTTCAGATTGACTCTCTGTCAACTACATGATTTTACTGCTAGTCTGTCACTACATAACTATTGGCTGATCAAGAGGCATTTTAAGGAGATCACCCACAACTCCTCAGGAATTCTTTAACGTCGCAGTCAGGACGGCGATCACAGCCAAAGTCCTCTCAAGACTTAGACAGGTTGGACACCCGCTCTGCGGCTCGGAGTTCGGGTATAGTGTACTGCCCAAAGCAACCTGCCGGTTTGTACCAATCCTTAGGGTGTTTTCCCAGGTCGTCCAGCGTCAGATACACCTCACCCCTACTAAGTCTCGTGCAAACACTGGCTCACAGCCTCCATCAGACCACATCCACAGAGTCCATCGACATGGACAGGAGTGACTCAATGCAGAAAGAGATGACACTCTTCAGCAAGTACCAAGGTGAGCGCGCAACATCCACAGCGCATAAGGACGGGGGCTAGGGCTTGAAGAGATTATACCGCACTCCAGCGTGGTCAACGGCACTGGTCAACGCTCGTCACTCAACGTCGATCAACCCCTGGTCAAACCTTGTCGGTCAATGCTTGTTGGTCAACGTTCATCGGTCAACACTTGGCTACAGCGGCTTTCTCCTCCCTTCGTCACCTTCGTCGATTTCGCCCTCCTTCTTCCTTTGTTTGGTTATGACCTTCTCCCCTCATCTTCGTCACCTCTCTCTCTCTCTCCCTTCCTTTCTTTCTCGTCAACTCCTACTCTCGCGGTGGTCTTCTCCTTCCTCCGAGCTTGGCGGCTATGGCCACCGTCCGCTATGGCGGACTGTCTCTTTCGGGCATCCCTCTCCCTCTCTCTCGCGCGTCGATTTTCTTCTTTGTCGCAGCGACGCAGCGATCGGCGCAATGGCGTGGACAACGGGAATCAGATTCGATACCAGTGCAATCAGACTTGTCTCAATTTCACTTGCAGCATGCATACATGTAGGTACTGATGGCAAAACAACTTCGTCAACTCAGAATCAACAACAAGTTTGTGATCGCGCACTGCGCCCACACAGAAAACTCATAAATATGGCCTTACACCAGAAACTCGGCAACTTGTCACATCTAGCAGCTATGGCGACTGAGTACTGGTCTAAATTCCCTTTTCAACACAGTCTCCACCATCAGGCACTCTCACGCTACTCACGCACATGCACACACGCCTAGGATCTACCCTGAATGTCCACGCACACACACACACACGTTCTATCTGTCGACGTCAGCAACTGGGGGGCTATGGCCGCCGTCGTCTTCCTCCTCCACTAGCGGCTATGGCCACTCGCCCTCTTCCACGTCGGGCACCTGCAGACCTCCAACGCACAAGTCGCATAAGCAGCCCTTCCGCATGGCTCACACGCGAATGAATGAATGGCTTGGTGCTGCCTCTTTTCGTCGGTGGTTTGGCCTGCCTCCGATCCCAAGCCCAAGGAGAGTGTGCAGCCCCACCTGGTACTTGCTGACTAGACAAGGTGGACTGGGGCTTTCGACTGGGACTGCTGACTAGGCTAGGACTAGACTCTACCTTGCTGACTCAGCTACAGCGACTAACCCTTACAGCTCCGAAGAGCCAAGAAGTAGCTTCTACACTGACCCTTCGCTACACTTAGCACTAACCTATAGGACTGACCCTAAGACTACTAACTCTAAGGTCTTCGGCTCAAGTCCACACAACCCAGACTATATAAGTAAAACATTTGTACACGAGTTGAGGGAGTTGAGGGACAGGTTGCGGGTTCAAAGCACATGTAGGGTCAACGGGTAACTGTACAGGGGTACGGATGGTCTAGGGATCGAGCCCTGGGATCCACAATGTCGCGCAAACTGAGTCCTTTGCCCTGAAGATTCTCAAATAAAGCCAGCCCTGCTCTGCCCTGAGATTCTGAAAAAAAAATAGCCCCGCTTTGCCCTGAGGGCCTACTCACACAAGGGGGGCTTTCGTGAAAGAGCATCCGCAAATTTTGTGATGGTTTTGCAAGGAAGATGAGCAATAGCGAACTTCAGCAATCAAACAGCATCATACACATGAGACCAGATAGTCATGACCTCGAACCAATAGCAGAATTGCATCACGAGTTTCACCAAATAAGAGCACACCAAAAGCTCATAATTGTCCTTCGGGACATCCGTTAAAATTGGAGCGATACAGAGAAGATTAGCATGGCCCCTGCGCAAGGATGACACGCATAAATCGGGAAATGGTCCAAATTTATTAAAAAAAAAAAAAAAAAAAAAGCTCATAATTGACAATGTTGGAATAGTCTCATCATCATCAACGAAGAACCAATGTTGATATCCTATCTGGCGCTTGACGCCCAGACTACGAAATGGCAGATCCTATCTTGCCTAGACTATGCCGCTGACGACGTCAACAGCTCCCCGAAGTACGAGCAGATCTCGGCCAATGTCGTACGCTTCAAGCACCAGGTATGTCTCTCGTATCACTCACAACCTCGTTGCCCAACTCACAGATGCCACATGCACCCAAGGACTACCATGCGCCCCATCCAGCATACAGCAGCGCAGCTCGGCTATGGCTGCCTGCTCCTTCTAGCTCGCGCGTGAGCGCTGGCCAGCGTTAGCGCAGCAGCACTTGCGCAGCGTGCAGCCAATGCCCGAATGCCCCATGCGTGGGCTGGCCCTTTCCTATATGGACGTGGCCAGCCTGCGTACGTGCAGCCTGGCTGCGCTGGGCCCCTGCCCAGAAGCTTCCGATAGGCCCAGGGAGGCTGAGCCTTAGACCAAACGAATCAGGCCCAAGGCCACCGACGATTACCCGTGCCCAACTGCCCACAGCCTGAGTTGGGCCTATGATGGGTATCTCGCCCAGGGCCTGACTCAAATACATTTGATAAATGGAGACCAGGGCCTGGGCACTTTCAACCAACTGGCGATGCGCAACTGCCTGAACTTTCCCCTAGTTGCGAAGTAGTCCAAAATAGGCCTTTTGTCGTTTGTCGGGTCTGCCTTCACTTAGGGCAGCCGACGCTTGTTGCAAGTAGGGGCCCAGTAGGGCTTATCGAGGCCTTGTGCCTCGCATTCCCTCCTCCATACTTCGCTAGTCCTCTGAGAAGTTCAGTCTTCGATAATCTGGCACTTTCCTTTCTGTAGAGACTTCTCATAGTGAGTGACAACCTGTGGAGCAGTCTGCATCAGTTCCTCCCTTGTGAACCATCTATCCTCCTTTGGGTCAGTGTGGTGTCTGAACCGAACTCGGTACTGCAGCTTCGGTTTTGGAGGACGTCCCCTGCCTGTCGGTCTTGGAACTGGCATCTCTCTGTGATCCAAGATTTCATCAATATCGACCTCTCCATCCATGGTTGGGGGCAGCATTAAGTGTCGCGAAGGGAACTGGTCAGTTTCCTCGAATCGTGCAAGCTTAGAGGCGTGAAAAACAGGGTAAGTGTGAAGATGTCCAGGGATCTGGATGACATACGAGGGTCCGTTTGGCTCATCACCAACTACATCCAAAACTTCACATGGTCCAAAGTACTGTGGCATGAGCTCGCCGAAAATCCCGTGCTCCTGTCCCAGTTGCCTTCACCCAAACCCTGTCCCCTACCTGAAACGTAGATGGGTGGCGGTGCTTGTTCTCATATTTGATCATCGCCGCCTGCACTTTATGCATGTGTTCTACTGT